CAGATAAGAAGATGCTAGCTAGCCTTCCTAAATTGAACTCATTAATTAATCTTTGACTGGATGCTTGTCTTCTCATTACTATAGATGAATGAATCTGCACTATCTACCATAAAATATTTTTAAAACATTTAAAATACTCAATGATTTTTTTTTTTTAACATTTAATGTCAGAAAGGTTTAAATATGCAATTTCTATGGAAAATGGACATGCTGATTCCACCCCTATGAAATTAGTTTTTTAAATTAATATAAATAATATTATATAATATTAGATTAGTTTATAATGCAATATCAAATTAGTGTTAATTACTTTTCATCAAAATCATTTTAAAACTTAGGCTAGCCAACAAGAGCTATTTTTAATCCAACAGGCTTACCCATCTGCCCAATTCCCAAAGGCACATAGATAACACCGATGGTCTCCAGTTTGCTCCTCACACTAAACTCATTAATTTCTCTCTAATTTGACATGCAATTTTCTGTTATCAAAACTCTTGACCAGTGCTTGATAATTACACTCATGGGAGACATGGGATTTCTCTTAACATACATAATATCTGTTATAGATTGCTGTCAAGTATATGCTGAAAAAAATAAGTATTTTCTTGATTTAACACTTTTTTAATAAGGATACGACTAAAAATTTGCATTTTTTAGGATTATGAAATTCAAAATTTAAAAGACTTAGTTTTTTAAAAAATTTCACTTAAATTAAAGGTCACAGTGACCTTGAAATAGGTCGCGACACACCTTCTACCCAAGATGTATACATTTCCCAAGTTTGATAGTTCTAGGTCTAATAGTTTACTAGTTATGAGCCGGACAGGATTTTTCCATATTTGGCCATAGCATCTTAATTAAAGGTCAGAGCGACCTACTTTTTGTGCGCGACACACCGTCTACCCAAGAAGTATCAGTTGACAAAGTTTGATAATCCTAGGCCTATTAGTATTGAAGTTATGAGCCGGACAGGAATGGACAGACGGACAGACGGACGGACGGACACGAAGCCTATAACATAATACGTCCCGTCTTAAGACGGGCGTATAAAAAAAAACCAAAATGGGTTAAAACTTGGCAAATACAAAATACTGCCTGAAACTTGTACTCAGGATCTGCCTAAAGTACTGCAAAAATTTACAATATTTTAGTAATAAACTAACAACAAAACAAACAAATTGGCTGATACTTTTCCAACGAATTTTCTTGACAGAAAAAGGATAAATCTGTTTACATTCCTAGACATCCTAAATGTCTATCGTACTGTTAAAAAGAACAAAATGGTGTATAATTTCAAAGAATATCTATCTGAAAATTGATGAAAATAAAAAGTAGCAAAATGGTGACAACTTTCATCAATTTGATGGATATCTATTTTCTCGCTGAAATTAAAGCTCCCCTTATACTCCTATATAAATGAACATTCCTCTGACAGTTAAAATGAACGCCGTCGTGAACAAATTTACGTATGCAGTCTCCTTCACGGGGAGAAACGAAATAATTCCCATGTTCCCAAAATACGCAGTAACCCAGTGCTGGCAATGCATCTCTCAATATTGCGTTTACTTTGTTTGCAATATCACTGTACCCAAAACAAACACCAAATCGTGGCAATAATTTACAACCAATTATTTTCGCAACTTTATATCGGCGATGCATTACCGATACCACAGATACAATTTCTGCAGCTAACAAGGTAGCGTCAGTACTAGGACTAATATTGTTCTCCCCAATCATTAGAACAACTACATCTGGACCTAAAGCAAACACGCTCTCCATATCCTTAGATATTACATCACGAACCTTTCTTCAAGCTGTACCCCTGTACAAAACGGAATGCGTTTCTCCAAGACCAAGGCTCGCAGAATATCTAATGTCACCATGTTTCAAGAATTCATGAAAACGACGCACTATTGAGTGTCCAAGAATGACAACTGAAGTTTTACCCATTGAAGACATAATGAAAAAATTTTACTCACCAAAATCTTCATATAATAGATAACAAACCTTGAAAAAACGTCCGTCCTCCAAGGATGCAGATGGGAAAAAAGGCAGAGTAACGCACCGCGAAGTCAGAATTTCAATTGTTAGATTTTGATTGGTCAGATTTTGATTGGTCAATCTCTGCCTCTCCTACCTCGTTAAGACATGAAACAAAATTACCATTACAAAGCACAGCTGTACAATATTTCAGACATTCACATTCAAGGAGGACACTTATTGATTACAATAAAATTTTTAAAATGAACTTAAATTTATTTATGTTTGTTTTGTGCTGTTTTTTTAATTTCCTTAAAAGTTTTAAATTAAAAAAAAAAGATTCATTCAATCTCTTTTCATAAAACATCATAATAATCAAGAATGAAAGTGCATTTGATCTGGATTTTAAGAAATCTTATTGTACTTGCAAAGTGACGGATTCATTGAGCGGTCACAATATATTTCGCCATTAGTTTGATATACAATGTTCCTGTGCGATAGAAAAAAGACAAATTTTCACTGATATTGTGTTGGAGTATAAAAGATCGGCTAGATTAATCATTTGGTACAAAATGGTACATTTTAAAGAGACATGCCTTTTTGAATTTCCTTTCTCAAGGTCATCTTTCCAAGATTTTAAATGGTTATATGTATGCAACAACAAATGTTGCAATTTTGCTCGAAGAATAAGCGAACCTCCAGTGGCAGTGTAAATGTTTTCCCATTAAAAAACACCCCTACTAATGTGTTCGGAACCTTTAATTTTTCGGTGTTCTGCAAATTATAAAGCCCGATGAGTTCTGAGTAGCTTTGGCAATGGCTCTGGCAAGAGTTAGCGAGACTACAGCGAGATAGGGTAAATTATTCACGGAAATGTGGCTAGGAAGTGACTAGCACGTGGAGATGTGGTAAATAGAAAAGTTATGTTGCATTTCAGTTTTCACCACCTATAATATCTATAGAAATGTACTTAATCGATCTCTCTTACATTCATTCAAACTCAAATAAGCATTCTCTATATTACACTTTACTGCAGTAATGAATTAAAATTTCTCTTTGGATAAAATTTTGCATGGGAACCGGGACTATATTTTTGGCGTCAGATTAGCAAATGCGGCACCAACATGACTTTGAATGACCAGTCAGGTGAATGAGAATTGCATTATGGGCTACTACGAATACTACAGGAATTTTACACTTGAAAGAAAAGAAAACCATGGAAGTAAATGAAAATCATTTCTTAAAATTCTATTCCTTTCATGCTCACAATGACAAAAAAGTCATTTGAATAAATGGTGGAAGGCTAGGTTTCTCAAAGTCATACTGCAAAAAAAGCGATTTTGTGCTGTCTTAATTCCTTTGTTGTACTATCGGTGAATACAATTGTCAGGTGGATTCCCCGGCTACGTGATCACGAGTATAGTTATGTAAACAAAGTTCTGTCCATTTAAATGCTTACTTGAAGCGCTGGTGTTCTAAAGTAGACACAAACTACATTTTATTAAACATATTTTTATAGCTAACAACAAATCTTTCATAGTTTCTAATCTTTGTATTTTGTTCATAAGAATATTTTTTTGATTTTGCACTCCATTGACACAATCATAGATTGAACTGAACCACGTGTTCGAAGTAAACATGTAAACATGTATTTGGCGTAAACTTTGCTATTCATTGGTCAGTTGCTCGTGGTAAGATCCTCTGTGCGCATTTATAACAATAGCCAAATAAGGCAAACAAAGGATTGTCAGTGTGGATGAAATAACACATATTTTTTACCAACGCATCGGTCGCTAGTAAGCTCTAATTTTCGCCATAATGTATGATACATTTATATTTTAACCCCCCCCCCCCCTTTAGCCACCCTATTTCTGTTAAAAATCATGTAAGTCTTTCAAAAAGGTCTGGAATCACATTTTTACAGGACATGTTTTCAAAAGAAAAAGACTATAGCAATTTCCTGTTTACTGACAATTCTATTTATAAAACCGGTTCTACCTTATAATCCTTGAATAGTTCAACCTAAACCACATGTCTTGAATTTGAATCACAATAACATTAGTAGGGGTGAAAAAGTTGCAATGTAATCATCTGATTTGTTTTAAAAACCATATTGTTTGTGTTCCACAAAGAGCACAGCGGTATGTACTACGTCTTCTTGGCGGAGAGAAAAAGTCGATTTTGATTCCATCTTTTTGTCAAATTTATTATGAAATTGTTAGTCCTAAAAGCAAATGCAATACTTCTATCCAACTGAAAGTTTAGTACATTTAACTATACTCTATAACCTAATAGCCTTTTTGATTATATACGTTGAGCAGATTTGATCATAAAAAATTCTTGACAAGATATTTCAATGTAATGTAACACCTTCCATTTTGCGTTATAATTTTACCTTTTACCCAGAAGTGGTCAGCAAGATAACTCCCCTGAATATTTAAAACTAGGAAAGATTCGTGGAGATCAGACACAAATATTGCAACATTTTTATGGTAAAAAAAACATTAAATTAACAATCGGTATTAATCTGTTCGTGCATTGTAATTAAAATGGCATCCGTTCAAAATCATGCAAAACATTATGGAACTGTGTGTACTGCATTAATATGTAAGATTTTTTAAAAGTTTTTTTTTTCATGGGTATAAACTTTAAGTGTTTTCTGTCACTCATACTTTTGCTTGTCTAGGTGCTACTCAGACACAGTATTAACAATACCTCAAAACGTAACCATAAATAGATCAATGGTTTTCAAAGGACTTTTAGGGGGTGGGGTTAAGATTGGATGGTTGTCGATGGTTTTAAGTAAGAATCAACAAAGAACTGGATTTGGAAATTCCATGTAAGAAAAATACTTTATTTTCTATGAAAGAATATTACATAGTTATTTACATATCATGTATCTCCCTCATTAATCATGTTAATCACTTTTCGATGCAAAGCGTATACAATAATTGATTAAGCAGGTTTATTTTTAATACAAGATCTTAGTTATGATTAGATCTTGTTCCTTAAAATTGTAGACATGGAGAACCTTCAAACTGGGAATAATCAATTATCTGACGAAGATTTGAAGAAACTTTATTGGAATATGTTTCAAAAACTCGGAGAAATTTCTCGAGATGCATTACAAATGTACTTTGACGGTAAATTCTCCAAAGAAGACCTAGAAAATGTACTCAAGACTAATGAGAACGACATGAAGAATGGTCGTTACAAATTAGGGGAAAATGAGATATCGATTCTATTTCCAGGTATGTCCCTATTGCTCAATGTGCATGTCGAGATCTAGAGGTTATATCACTAATTTATTTCAAGTATTTTTAATTTTGTTCTTATGAATACTTCCAAATGCACAATTTTTTCCAAATTGTTCAGTTTGCCATTCAATTGTGTTTTTTTTTTACTAAACACTAAAAACAACAATAAAACTATGAAAGCGGTGTTGGTTACCTGCTTTAAAGCTAAAGTACCGTATATACTCGAATATAAGTCGGATTTGTGGGAGTTAATCTCTTGTTTTCTAAAGATATCGTTCATTTATTTTTTTAAAGATATTTTTCATTTATTTTTATACAATTGTTATGGCGTAAAATACATTTTGTGTAAATCACATTGCATTCAAGATGACAGAAGTTGTCCATTATCTGCAACATTTGACATAACGATAATGTACAAACTGCTAAGGAATTATGGCGAGGATATGCCGAAACCGAACAGCCAGGAATGGGGGAAAAAACCACATATTACAGACAAAAAGGAGACTGATGATATAGAAAGAGTCCGACATTACAGAAACGAGTTTTTTCATGCAACACCAGAAACAAGTATCATGGTGAAAGATGATTTTGAACTTAGCTGGATGGACTTATCCAATGTAAGAAATCTATCAATATTATTTTAAAGCAGTGACTTCTGATGATATGATATTTCACATGATAAAACACCGTTCAAAGGACTGAAAGTCCATTTAAACATGACTTAGACAGAGCTCTGCCATTTTCAGTGACCTTTTCAGACCATTCAGTTCACAGTAAATTCCTCCTGTGTTTGTAAAAAAGAAACTGTAAATAAATATATTTTCTTTGGTGAAATAAAGTAATTTATCCATTTAATAACCTTTCCCACCTTTTTTGATGACAGGCAGCAGTTTACAGTATTTTGTATATTTCTTCCAAGCTTATGATGTTTATAAGGGGGTCAACTTAAAATGCATGTGTATTGTACCTTGTGAAAGATTAATGGGTTTTAATTATTATTCTTGTCTGGTTGACCCCCCTTTTGCCTATGTACATCATGTTACAATTTCATTATGATGCTGGGGGTCAGATTGTGATATTTTGACTAAGATGTGTAATACTCTATATTTGAGTCCTCCTTCTTCTGACCCCCATTTTGTTAACTGTGTTTTACTTTTCCGTCATTTACTTTAGTAAATGACATATTTCACTTCAGCATGATGTTATTTGTTTTTGCCTGTTTATCAAAAAACAAGCTCAGTCGTTTGGCAGGAGAACTAACGAACACAAAGTAATTTATCCATTGAATAACTGTTTCAAAAATGTTATTTTTCCACTTTGTTAGATTGTTGATTGTTTGTTTGTTTAACATCCCTTTTCGAGATTTTTTTTTCTCTCATATTCATCTCTCTCACCATACAGCTTTAGGTAGAGGGCTGCAAATTTAGACCTATACTCGGCATTAAGGGAGATTGTTGAGTGAGAGATGTTTTTCGTGCCAACACTTACTGCGACACGTGACCTTGGTTTATACTCTCATTTTCGAAGGACTAGTTCACGTCCCGCAGTTGGATTCAAACAACAAAAAATGGCTTGATAAACTCTAAATTTTTCTTATCTATTCAAATTTTGAAAAAGAATACTTCTCATTGACAGATTTACTGTTAAAACAACATGACACCGGGAAAAATATAGCAAAGATCTTTTAAACATGCGGTTAAAATAAACTTTAAATTCAGAAATAAACGCAATGGTAACTTTTGATTAAGTTTAGTGAAAATTTATTAATGGAACATACAATGTTTAAATACGACATTATTTCAATATATATTTAGAGGAAATTCACTTTCTCATTAGTGAACATTTGCAACAAGAAAGTCCTTATGTGATCTAGAGTAATAAGGGTATTCTAAGGCCCTACCCTACTGTCCAGTAAGTCCCACTTATGTTGGAGCTAAGACGAAAGTGGACTGTATAAAATATGGTCGAGTGGGTAAACTTTATTCTTCACATACTTTGGCAAGGGTATTTGACCTGCTGCTGATTAGGCAACATATGCCTGAGTAAGAGAAACGCAATCATAAAGTCAAGAAAGCTTGCAGACCCAACTCCTAAAATCGTTTTTTTTTCTATTTTATGGGGGAAGGGGTTATGTTGAATCAGATGATTATAATTCCTATTTGTATGCATAAAAGATTCAATTGTACTTACGTAGCAATTTCGCAGAAAGGATTAATAACGGTGTATTGAAGTGACATCGTCACTCACCGACATCTCCGTCATAGTTGGTTGGAAACTCTTCCATTTCATCTTTGACAATGTAATGGCTAAAACGTTCGTTGGTATAAAAAATCATAATTGAACATAAGCCTGTGTATACATTTCTTTATATTCTTCCATTGCAATCTCCAGAGCAGTTAATTTTTTGCAAGTCGAATTATAACTGCAAGAAATTTACATTGACTGTAAAAAGCTAAATACATTGTGTAAATCTCCAGAGTATCAAGTTGCATTATAAGATATGTTTACAAATCTGACATCGTCAGCATATACATATTTGTGGTTTTCTATAACTTTTCCTATTTGACGACATACCTTTTGTTATTATTTAATTTTGAACTCAGCTTTCAACATTCAGTAAAGAATATTCTCATCTGAAAATTAAAGGAATTAATTAATTAATTAATCGGTCATGTTTATCAATAAAAATTAGAAACGTATGAATAGATAAAACATAATTCAAAACACTCTTATTTGTAATTTAAAAACATTGTAATTATGTTCATTTGAAAGACATAAGTATCATTAAAATGGAAAACAATCATTATTCAATGTAGCGGTAGGTAATGGATAAGGTGAGAAAAAACGGTCGGTGTTCACTCTCAAAAAAAAGCAACCTACAAACAATACAAATCAGTGAACAGTCTATAAACGGGAACCCTGTTAATAACGTAGGATAAGAGACCAGTAGGCATTTCAACGTTGATTCAACGTTGAATCAACGTTGAATTTTGGTTGCATATGAAAGTTGAGTCAACGTTGAGATATAACGTTGTTTCAACGTCAATTTTCAACGTAGAATAAACGTTGAAAATGGGTTGAATTTTTGGTTGGTTTATGGTTGATGTTTGGTTGCAAATGAAAGTTGAGACAACGTTGAAGCTTCAACGTTGTTTCAACGCCAAATATCAACATGAAACAAAATTGAACATTGGTTGAAATTTTTCGGTTGTACAAACGTTGATATTTGGTTGAAATCACGTTGAATTCATATAACATATTGCTTTAAAAACAAATACATTTCAAATTCAAATAAAAAAGATTTATTCAAGTTGCGTAATATTTATATAAGTTGTAATCCAGTATTATGATTGTGAAAGAATTTATTTTACATGTATTTTTAATACAAACACAAGTTCAAATTCAATCACTGAATCTCAAAAATCACTGCTTGACAAAATTTATATTTCTAGTAAAAAGTGGGTCACAGTAATTACATCCAGGTCCTTCACATAGGCACTTGGTTACAAGATGGTTATTTTGTGTATTATGCATATGTGTTTTTCTATGTGTGCCTGAATACCCTCATTAAAACAAAAATAAAAATTCGCCGAAATTAGCACGCTTTAAAAAATGTCATATTTACTGTATATAAAAAGAGTAAAGGAGCGTCACTCGCCATCTTGAAAATCAGGGGTACTTCGGTTCACACTTAATTTTCGTCTATATCTACATCTTCCCTACCGGTGTCGGGTGAGATCTATCTTCGAAAATGATTGAATGACAACTCCCTATCATCTGTAGACCTACATATGCCGTTTTAAACAAGCAATGAACCGAAACGTCCTCGATTCTTGCACCTGTTTATCGAAAGCAACGGAAGTAGCGATTTCGACTATGTAAAATCTAGAGGCGTCCCGGAAATACATGGAAAATCTAGAGAGGTCAAAAATCGCGCCAAACTTGTTTTCTCTAGATTTTCCGTGTCATTCCGGGACACCTCTACATTTTTCATCGTTAGAAATCGGCACTTACGTTGCTTTCGATGTCTGTACATGGTATAAAGGACGTTTTGTGTTTACTGCATGTTTTATGCGACAAGTTCAAATCGGCAGACGTTTGACAGGTGTTATTCAGTCATTTTCGAAGCTAGATCTCACCCGACACCGGTAGGGAAGATGTAGATATAGACGAAAATTAAGTGTGAACCGAGGTACCCCCTGATTTTCAAGATGGCGAGCGACGCTCCTTTACTCTTTTTTATATACAGTAAATATGACGTTTTTTAAAACATGCTAATTTCGGCGAATTTTTATTTTTGTTTTAATGAGGGTATTCAGGCACACATAGAAAAATACATAATACACAAAATACACCATCCTGTAACCAAGCGCCTATGATTTGTTCGATAAAATGTACGTAACACATTATTTCAAACGATAAAAATAAATATACATGAATGATTAAAAAAAATCAGACAAAGGAATATATTCCGGTACTTGGATTTAATTATAGTTGACTTTATGTTAAAATTCGTATGAGTATGCTTATAAATAATTATTACTAAAGAAATATGTTATAGACATACATATATATACATAGTGTACTTACAAAATGTTGCATTCCTTTGTATAATTTTCACGGGCGAAGAATCTGATGCAATCAAGGCTGACTATACAATCAATTCCCTGCACCACTGGTTGATTTAACCTTACGACGAACTACAATTAGTTAAATTGTATAATATATTAGTATACTAGCTTATATTTCATAACCAAATGAATATCAAGTTGATATTCCAGCTTTAATCCTTGTGTATATAGCTTGAAAACACATTAAATATGAACAGCAAGGAGACGCGCACTTCTTGTCCATCAGTTGAATTCAAATTTTGACCTAGATAAGCTGCAAACAGCTTTACTCTGCCCAGAAAGAAAATTGCATAACAAGGTTATCCTGACACTGAAACTGACCAAGTAAGCGAGAGGCACACTGATATCTCGAAGGTTTTGGGGGAGTGGATCTTAAGTAATGCAACTTGACCGGGGTAAATTGTCAGTGTGAAAATTTTTATGAGTTTATTTGAATTTTTTTTATATTTTGTGAAAAGAAAGATTATAGAATTAATACACACAACAAAACACAATCGAATAAAATAAGACTTCTTAGATTCGCTCAGTATAAGTACAATCTGCGCAACAGTATACGGCACGGATCTATATAAGTCTAATTTAAAGAACATTAATTCGGAATAATTATTTTTATTAAGTCTATAGTAACATGGAATTACCATGAGATGTTGGATAAAGATGTTATTATTTATCAAAAAGCTTATATTTAACAGATCGTATACGTATGTCCAAAAAAAAAAAGCATTCACAATTTATAAAAAAAAAAAAAACCTTTTTTTGGAATATAATTATAATGAAGTGTTAAATGTAGATGCCATGCTTCATATAAACTCATATTCAAAATTTTATAATGGTACTACATGTACTAGCTATTGGCACAACTTTTTTGAGTGAATCAATTTATAATGTATGCGTTTCATTTATTAAATATAATTATTATGTTTATGATATTTTCTAACAATGCAAACAGCTGTGTGTATATTGCGAAAAATCGCATGGATTAGAAG